TATACCACCAGAGACCTTACAAGAATGGTTTATAGAGCCCCTCTCTCCTCATTGTAAGACTCCTCTGAGCATGCTCTGGAGGGTTCCACCTTGCTGGATATAGTACCTAAATAGTTAAATGGTGCCTGCCTAAACTCTGTGCAGCTGAATCTCCTATGTTACAGAACAAGTCCTATGTCTTGAACCTATTTATTTTCTGCTGCTTATCTACCTATAAGTCTGCTGATAATTTCTCCCCCATTGTACTTTAAGGTGAGTGCTCCTTCCTTTGAACTGACAGGAACGAAGTCTGGGGTGCATTAGCACTGCACCTGACAGACAGATAGTGGGTGGAAAAAGCTCAGGTATTCTAACAACACTGATAATCCTACAGGCTACAGCACATAAACATAGCTCAACTGTAGGAAAAAATGCTGATTTAAACTTTGAATTGGAAGGTTATAGTAGGAATTGCTCCACTTTGCCCTTGTGAATGATACCTATGGTTAACCTTTCTACTGTTTCCTAACTTACGTATCTCTTATGAAACGAAGGATGTCCTTTTAACTAAAGCTATAATAGAGAAAGATTTTGTATTACAGTTACAATATCTTACAAAGGAAGATATCAGGCCATATTTTCAAACATGTATGTGCCCAGCTTATTGGCGTAAGGCACAGATCGGTGTGTGCATGCAAAGCTCTAACTCTATGCGTGCACATCTCAGTACTTGCTTATATAGATTTAGTGTATGCAAATAGGTGGGTGAATTTTTGCACACGCATGTCTGAAAATGTAGCACTATATGGCTCAGTATAAGGACTGCTCCCAGTTAAATTCATATAAAAATAGTCTGCCTGTGGATTGTGACCTGAAATTTCCTTTTTTCCAAGTAGAAAGAGGGAAGTAAATTGCAGCATACGTTTGCTCAGTCAACCTTATTCACGAAGTGAAGGACAGTCTTTTTGGACTAATCTGTTGTGACCAGATTTGACAAGACTTTAAACAGTTAACTGCACTTCCAAAAAGTGCTATCCTAATGTTTGCATTATCTATAAAATAAACTGTCCTTAAATAAAAGTTATTTGTGATACCATATACCTTACTTGTTTGTTTTGTGCATCATAGGTATCTGGATACAACATACCGTATAGACTATGTTCCTCCATATGATTATACGCCATATGTAAGTATATGGAGCAGAAAAGTCCTATTTTACAGTGATGTTTTACATGTAGCTTCATATCTAGAGCGTTTAATTAACCTTGGGAAAAGAAGAGGCTGCTGAAATGTTGATTTGTTCATATTTGCATAGAGCCATTAGCAATATAACTGTGGGAGTCAGTAATGAAGTGAGACAGTTATAACAGCTATAATTTATTTTTGAGTTTATATACTACAGGGACACAGTTCTTAATTTGCCCATAACTTGCTAGCAAACTGTTTATTTAAGATTTCCCTCCACAGCTATTTTCTGTCCTTTCTTGGTTATCTACCACACAAGCTCAGTGTTTTGTGGAAAATAAGATATTTATAACTTTCTTTCCATATTTGGTTAAACTTAATGATGCTTCAGCAAGATAAAAGCTTAAAGAATTTATTTCTGTGTATCTTCTTTTTTCACCACCACATGCATGAGTATCAGTGTTCTCTTGATTCAAGGAGTGAAAGAATTGTGTTGTGTGTATTGTAACAAATATAAAACTGGAATTAAATAATAATCAAAATAAAATAAAAACTTAAAGGAATAACAGTTTTTTGGAGAGCAAACCAAAGGTTTTGGGAAAGTTCCTTTTTTTTTTTTTTTTGAGTACAGAGGTGATTACTGTATCCTCTCAGAGACTCCTCCATACTTTTAAACAAATTTTTATTGTAATCTGAATATATTGTTTGGGAAAGATGCTTGCCTGTCAGACATGGAGTCTGAAGTCTGCTGTTTGTATAAAAGGTACAGCATGTGCATGTGTAAGCTCTCGGACACTGCCCTAGCAACGTACCTCAGCACTGACCGAGAGGGGACCACTTCTAGGAATAAAAGGTAGAGGTTAAAATGAGGCGGGAACATGAGGGAGTGCTGATTGCTCCATCTCACTGACTGGTGAATCGAGGACTTGCCATCCATGGGAATCTAAAATAGGAGCAGCAGAAGGACCTGACACCTGGCTTTGGAGTTTCTGGGGCTTCTAGTCTTTCCCCCCAATATGTGGAACAACATCTAAGGAGAGAAGAGATGTTCTTTAATAGCCTCTTTTACATGAAGATGAGTCCTCTTAACAGCATTGCCTTCTCTCCAGGGAAAGAGGGGAATCTCACTGAAAGCTTCAAGGGGATAGAAGAAGAGATACTATTTCAGGACCCCTCAACGCAGAGGAAAAAATCTCAGGAGCAACAAAATGGCCCTGTCTGGTCCCTTGGGTGACAAGGTGTAAGGAGGAAGCTTGATTAGTTGAGCCGAGTATTCATTGAGATAGGAGTGGTGATAACCTTGTTGGGACACAGAGGCCCTTGGTAGTTCAGCATTGTTTCAGCAACTCTTGCCAGGCCTGACATACTCTCTACACTTAACACACTGTTGTCATAATCTGAAGGGGAGAGAGCCGCGTTATCCTTCACCGAAGGAGTCAGAGAAACGAAGTGCTTTGAGCTGTGTGTGTTGGGTCCTGGCTAAAGAATGGGCCAGCCATGCTGGGAGAATGACTGTGCGGAGAAAACCTTCTTTGAACAAAAGACTCGTTTGTTGAGTTTTAGTCTTAGAAAAATATTTTTACTGTTGTTCGTAGCCATTTCTATTCTTATTCCTTTTCTTGGTATTACTTAAACCTATGTCCCTTTTTTAATAAACTTGTTTTACTTTTACCATTATTCAACTCAGTGTTTTGACTGAAGTGGAGCGTTAAGTTAATAAGTTAACTAAGTTTAGTTAATAAGCTTTGCTGTACAGTCTTTAAAGGAGCAGTGAAATAAGAATTTGTGGGTGCTACATTAAGAAGTGCTTAGCACTGCAGAGAAAGACATTTTGTAGGGAGAACTTGGGGCTGGAAGGGTTGTTGAGGTCCTGCTGCAAAGAGTAACTGTGTGGTGGAAGCTACGGTGTGACCTGCCAGCTTGTATGGTGGCTGTTGATGTCAGAGCTGTCAGACACAGAATCATAGCATTGCATTAAGGCACTCAGGGCTGGTCTACACTGGGGGGGGGATCGATCTAAGATATGCAACTTCAGCTACGCCAAAGTATCTTAGTTTGACTTACCTGGCCATCCTCACGGCGGCAAATCGACCGCCGCGGCTCCCCCGTCGACTCCGCTTACTCCTCCTGCCGAGGTGGAGTACGGGCATCGATTCAGGGATCGATTTATCATGTTTAGATGAGACGCGATAAATCGATCCCCGATAGATTGATTACTACCTGCCGATCCAGCGGGTAGTGTAGACGTGGCCTTAGAGTTGCAAGGCAGCTGTCAATTGACCTACTTACTGGCCTGGGCGAACCAAGAGTGTCACATTGCTCTGCTTTTATTTGGTGGGGTGTGCTGGATTTGGCAGCTTTGGTGTATGTAGGTTGATAGTTTAATAAAACACAACTTTCCTCTGGCAAGTTTAAAATCTTCTATAATGCAAGGAATTATATCAAGAGTTTCAAAAATTTTCTGAGGAAGGACCCTAAGCCCTCTCTTCTTATTTGTTGTTTTTACATCAATACAGGTTCTCTGTCTTGATCTAGTCATCTCATAAATGATGATATTCATAGGAATGGGGGAAGGTAGCACCAGAGAGGTACCCTCCCCTCCCCCCCCCCCACACACGTGCTTGAGTGGGCTAGGGGCCTACTTTTGCACTTGAATACCTTTTAGACACCTCCTCGCCTCTCAACCCCGTTCTCTTCCCCCTACTGCATCCTGTCACCAGAAGATGATGCAATACCACATCATTTCATGACTTTGTAATGCATCACAGCAACTACAATAATTGAATGGAATACATATCACAGCTATTTAGGGCCCAGATTTGCACCCCAAAAAAAGGGTCTTTTGAATCCCTATTTAGGCACCTAAATAATTTTCTGAGTTTTTCAGAAGCACTGAGCACCCTGCAACTCTCATTGACTAAGACATTTTGCAAACCCTCTATACCTCCCAATCCTGGTCTGTCAGTATGTTCAACTGGTCAGACTACCCACTGGTTAAAATGCCAGCGGTTGCCTGAAGTTCTGTCTACATGATATTGCAGCTGAACCAGCGATAGCAGCAGTGAGAAATTTTATAGGAAAGAAACTAGTATAAACAGAGACTATTTATAGCAGAACTTCCCCAGCTTTGAACAAAAACTTACTATAAATACCTGGAAAAGTTTCTTTTTATCACAGGCCTAGCATCAGATCCTGAAAGACTTCCGTTTTTGCTTGTTTGTCCTGTTCTAAGGCACAATTTTATTGAAATTCTATGATATTTTGCTTAGCACATCATGTCCAAACAAGGTGAAAAATGGGAATCAGGAAAAAATATACAGTATGCACAACAAAACAATTTTTATAATATTCTATGTGTTCAATAGGAAAAGGATAAGTATAAATCATAATCATGGAGGCATGGAGTTTAAGGCCAGAAGAGACCATCAGATCATCTAGTCTGACTTCCAGCATGCCACAGACCATCAAACCTCACCCACTTATTCCTGCATTGAATCCAATAACCTGGATTAAAGTATTTATAACCCTCAGGAGACTAAACCTATTGTGCACTATAGGCAGAGAACAGAAGGGACCGAGATGCACCAATGCTGGAGGCTCCTGCAATTGCAGGCAATTATTTTCGTGAGACTGACCCAGATGATCGTAGCAAGCGACCCATGCCCCGGGCTGCAGAGAAATGTGAAAAACCCCAAGGTCCCTGCTAATCTGATCTGGAGGAAAATTCCTTCCTGACTCCAAAAATGACAATCACTTTGACAATGAGAATGTGAGCAAGACTCACCAACAGAGCATCAGAGAAAGAGAATTTTCTCTGTACCACCTTAAAGCACCAGCCCAGCCCATCTGGTATTCCAGCTCCAGCTGTGGCTATCTCTGGTGCTTCAGAGGAAGGCAGAAGGGGAACAAAAACCCAAACAGAATAAATTACACATAAATGAACCTGTTCCCACTGAAGTGAATGGCAAAACTCTCATTGACCCATTGAAAAGTAGGAGCAAGCCCATAGATAAGTAATTTAGCTTGTTTGCATTTTATCATCATTGGAAACTACTTTGCAACATATATTTATAATAAATGTAGAAACCTTTCACTTGGAAGTGAAGGAAATCACATACTGATATAAATAAAAATTAAGGTAAAATTTCTGTTTTGTGCACCAAAAATGGAAAGTTTAATGCAGTACTTAACTTGGGGAAGGAAAAGAGGGTTCATGTTATGGTCTGGATGCCTTACTTTGTGTGCCAGTGACTTTGGTAGGATGAGAATCATGGCCATATACTCTTTTTAAATGGCATAACTTATTCTGTAAAGTGTTTGCACACAAAAGTCGATTGTCATTTGACTGAGTGTTTTGATAGACCACCCTTAGGATATTGGCCATGCTTAACTGGCCATTTTTCTTTCATTAGATATATGACAGTTTGCATTACTGTATTTGCCAAGAATATATTAACCTACAGTAGAATGGTATGTGATAGTGGGGCTATACCTATACAACTTATGAATTTTGATTGATATTGTTAAGTTGTATTATGAAAATCTGCTGTGTCTTGAGTGCTTATATGTGTGTGGGTCCATCTTTGCTGACGGGCCCTGTAGCATGTATGCACCAGACGGATACAATACAAAGGTGCTTAGGACTTAAAGACCTGATTCAGGTGCAAACATCTGGGACAGTGGATGAGCTACATCCTTAGAAAACAGTTTTAGCTGACTCCAGAAAGGAGGCGGGAAGGTAGGAGCAATGGAAAGTTACCAGAAGTAGAACAAAAGAGACCAGGTGACCAGGAAGAGTTTTAAATAAAGAAATACACAGGAATAGGGGGAGTGAGGCAGAAAGAGGAAGGGTGGGGCAGGAGTGAGCAATGTCACAGAATCATGAGGAAGAGACCAGGTAGTATGCAGCAGCTTGCATTTGGTGGGAACTTTGCCTGCCTCGATCCAGCTGGTTTCCCAAGGACTCACATTGTTTTGTATGATCCATACTCTCTTGTGCAC